AAAAATACGTTGTTGCACGCGCTAGACGAGAAAGGTACAATATCATTGTCAATGATGTTCCATGATACATTTGGTAAATTAAAGTCACCCAACACAATCAATGAATCAGAGGGTTTAATCATTGAATTAATTGATTTCAGTAAAGATACTTGTTGTGAATACACTGATAAGTCAGATCGGGGAGGAATATAGCATAGAGCTAAGTAGGTAAACCCCCTTCCAACCTGAACACGAATGCATTTGAATTCTGCAGATTCGATGAGGGAAACATAGTTTCGAAAAGAAAAAACAATTACCTTCATCTTTGAGATTAACTTCAAAAATAAGGGGTTTTAGATGGTTTTCTTTTTGTGAGCTGAAAATCAAATATTTTACCTATGAAGGTCATTTTGAAATGGCGAAAATATATGTCTTTCGAACAAGCTAAATTTGTGACTTGCTAAAAATTTAAATGGGCTTTCCCCCCAAATTTAATTTGTTAAATAATGCTCTCTATTATTAAGCGATCGATGTGTTTAAAAGTAAAACAAAAAAAATCGGTGCATACTGTGTAAATAAAGATTTAAAAACCCCTTTTGCAACGTTATTTGTAAGGTGGGGGCAATTTTTTTGGCGTAGAATACGTCCTACGTTTCGATATGGAGGCCATGCTCAAATGTTGTACATAGATGTAATTTTTAGAGCTTCACAAAAACGCTTCTTGCACGAGAACTAGTGAAGCGATTTCAAGGAAGAGTGTGCCGTTTCAAAGACAAAATTCCAAAAATTAGATATCTGTCGTAGAAATAAGGGTAAATATTGCCTTAATTTGGGGTCAATTTTGAGCCTTTAAAGTGCTTTAGCAACTTATGACTTGCAGATATAACTTTCCTTTTCTGGATATTGGTTCTTTGGAGCAATAGAAATATTATCGTGTACAAATTTAATATAAATTCAACAAATATCGAGCATTTAAAGGCAAAAAATTGTTGAAAAAATTTGCAATTTTTTTTAATACCAAAATGCTCGAAAATCGCTCGAATGATTTTGTTTTTGTTTTTTTAATCGGGTGTTTTCCTTTCGATTGGTATATTGGAAGTATTGGTTGAAATCTTCTAAGTAGGTGCTGACAGAGACAAACGGATACCAAAAACAGATTGCGCAGACGAGGGGTAATATGTATAAGCTGATCGCAACATATTTTGTTATAGATATGTACATTGTAAATCCATATATATACCTACATACATATGTATGTATGCATAATACGCGAAAGCTTTTTTGTCATATCATCAGATCTGAAATGTTAGTTCGATTTTACAAAATGAGGTATCAAATTAAAGGGCTTGGCCTGTAGATGTGTAATAATTTCTTATTTTTTCAAAAAGAGTTGCCACCTGATAAAAAATTATAATCAAATTATTTTTAAGTTAAATCAATTATTACACTATGAGTATCGATCGAATCGATGGTTTTGAAAAGTCTTTATTTCTTAATTACACATATGTAGGAGGGTTGCCACCTGTTTCAAAAAGCAAGTTCGGCTTAAATAAAGGCAGAAAATTTAAATGAATATCCTGGACGAAAGAGATTGTAATTTGAAAATATTTTTTTTAGAGTTGCCACCTGTTTCAAAAAGCAAGTTCGGCTTAAATAAAGGCAGAAAATTTAAATGAATATCCTGGACGAAAGAGATTGTAATTTGAAAATATTTTTTTTAGAGTTGCCACCTGTTTCAAAAAGCAAGTTCGGCTTAAATAAAGGCAGAAAATTTAAATGAATATCCTGGACGAAAGAGATTGTAATTTGAAAATATTTTGAATAGAGTTGCCACCTGTTTCAAAATTAGAATTTAAATGAAGTATGCATGAGTTAAATGAAATACTAAAATATTACGTGAAACGAAGGTGGTAAGATATCCTTAGTTTAAATATTTAGATTATTAAAGAGGGTTGCCACCTGATAAAAACGTAAGCTCAAATTATTTAATAACTTAAAGCAATTGTTAAAAATATGGATATCAAATGAAATGGGTTTCAAAAGGCTTTATTTTTCAACTGTATTTACGAGTGTAGTCACGTATTTAAAAAATCTAATTTAACTTAATTCATCAGGCACATGAATTATTTCTGTAGGTATCACAATATCAGACGCTAATACTAATACAGGGACCTAGGCTAATATAAAAAGTAATACAAATTTCTGCAGTATGAAAGGAAATAAAAAGGAATCGAAATAATGGTACACGTCTTGGCATATATCTATTAATAAGCTGATGGTTCACATGATTGAAGTTCGTGCGGATCTGCTTCTCCATTGCTAAGTATATATATTTTGCTATTCATATTTATTTATTAAATTCAATTCCATACAATTAAAACGAATATTTCATGTACCGTTGTTAACTTGAATTTGATCTTGATAATATCACGTATTCTACGTTTAAGTTTAGCGGCTGTGACTCCGATATAGCCCGCAGGTAAAGACGAAGTCGCTGGACTGATCCTTTTTTATCCAAACCAATTATTTGGTCTTAATATCCGAACTCAAAAGCTTCATAATACTCTTAAATATATTTCGATAGCTGCTTTCGTTCTCGAAATATTCGATTTTGTCACAAAAAAAGTCCATTCTACACACTGTGCGAGAGCAACACGGTAGACGCGTGGGACTAGTGTCAGTGTGCTGCCTGCTGGCAGACTTGACTTCTGGTGCTTCAACTCATTTAATATAAATTGTTTTATTAATTAAATATCTCAACAATACTACGCAATGAAATGTAAAGCTGCAGGGTTTCGGAAATGTTATGTATCAACACTGAACCTTACCACCCCCCAAAATGATGTGCGGCACAAAGTATGCATAGAAAAGTTTTCGATGTCAACAACAAAACTATTAAGCCTTTGCTTGGCGGGCGGCTTGACTAGTAAAACCAGACAACTGCAACATAAAACGACAAAAACAATGGCAGTGCAAACACTAGTCAGCGCTCAGGTAGATAGAAGCGTTGCGCTGTTCGACGAATAAACAAAGAAAGAACAGCAAACTTATAAAGTGGCAAAACTTTGTTGCACAATCACTGAGCTAACAACTTGCAGTAAAGTTAAAACACAAAAAAGAAAAACAATAATAACAACAGCACGAAAAAGTTACGACGTGCCACAGCTATGTAAGAGCAACCCAGCAAGTAAAGGCATGTTGAAGTTGAGTGCAAACATGTGCTGCGGCGCCTGTAGGTATGCTAAGACTTGCGTTTAACTAAAATTTCTATGCATTGTAGTGCAAATTCATACCACATATTACACGCATACACGCGCGCGCGCACACACACTTACCACATCCCGGAGTAGCGAGCAGCGCTCATTTCTGCTTTTGACTGTCGCCGTGGCTTGTTGGCGCAGCAGATTGCTCGACGCAGCGCTGTGTGCCGTACCTCCCGAGTCCTCGCTGCGTGCATCATAGAAGACATCGTCATCGTCGGTGGCGTGTGCGCTGTTGCACACTTCAAGCTGCTTGACTGCATCGGAAGCATTTTTGCTGCTGCTATTTGCATTGCTTGACTTGGTATGTGCGCGTTGTTGTTTTTGCGGTTCTTGTTGCATAACCGAGCTGGCAACTGGCATACAATTAGCACCTGCTACAACTACCGCGCCAGTCGGTGATGTCTTTTTGACGGCCAGCAATGGAGTAGGCGTCTCACATAAATCTTTGCCGCCATTTGGCGTGGCGGCTGTGTTCGTATCCTCCTCGATTGCAGATGCAGAACGTCGCGCCTTACGCGATTTTTTCACCTCAGTATGGCCAATGGCGCTATCACTTCGTGTCGGACTGAGCTCCGCCGTTTGCATTTCTTTTGCCTCTTTCAATGCCAATTGCCGTTGCTCGTCTTTTTCCATTTGTGTTCGACCTTCGGTCGCATTTATTTTGGCCTGGCGCTCGTTGTCTTCTTTTGTGCGCTTCTTCTTTTTCCTTTCAGCAGAAGATTTCTTAGCATCACCTTCACTACCATCGCCCTGCTGCTGCGCATTCTCCAAATTCACCTTCAATTCCTGCAAGTCTGAGTACGTGGCTGGCGATGGTGGTGGCGGCGCAGGTATATCCTTGCTGCGGCGCACTAAGGGCACTGCAGATTGTTTAGCGGCGGAAGTGCTACGATGATGACGCTTGGCAGACTGCGATACAGGTGCATTTCCGCTCTGCTCAACACTCAAATATCGCGCTTCACGCTTGGTTGAGCCACCAGCTCCACCCACAGCGGACTTCTTGGCAGCGCCATGCATTTCAGTTGGCTTATTGTGATTCGCATCTGCAGCCGATGGAGCTAAGTTATTATTGTTATTATTGGTAATGGCCTCAGCGGCGACGCGTGTCTCGCGACAGCTGGCCTTGGCCGCGTCCGCATGTACACCAGCCATTGAAGCAACTGGCAAACCGAGTGGGCGATCGGTTATTTTCAAACTCTTTGGACTGTGACGCGGACTATAGCGCTCTGTACGAGATGCGCTGTTGCTGTTTATGTCATGGCCAGTTTCGACCGAATGTTGCATGGTATTGGTTGGATTATTTTTCGACTTAGCTACAGCACTAGCTGGTAATGCAGCTGTACTTGCTTTTGGTATAGCGCCTGTGGCGCTGGCTACGAGTCTGTCTAACGATGGATATTCACTGTGCCGTTCGTAGGCGGCTTGGACTTGTGCGTGTCGCGAGCGTTGTATAACTTTTGGCTGCGCTGTCAACTGAGCTTGCTGCAAACTAGGTCTTGGTGCCGGCGTAGGCGTGGCCGAGCTATCGGTGTTCGAGGTGATGACATTAGAGGCGCGTTGTGCGCGTGATCGCTCCTTAGTAAGCGGCAGCGTCGTAATTTGCGGTGCCTCTTTGGTTGCATGTCGACGCGGGCTACCCGCTGCTGCTTGTGGCACTTCATTGCCACGTTCGCTTTTGGAGCGGCTACTTTCAAATTTATCTTCGTTCGAGCCGCTGCCATTGCGTTGCATCTCCGACTGATAGATGCTGCGTTTAACATCGTTTACATGCTTAAAGAAATCTTGCGCATATTTATTCTGCTTCAAATTTAGTTGCTCCTGTTGGCGATCGTACTCGCTGTGGCCGGCGTTTGCGGGCAGCGTGCCTGCTGCAGTCTTGCGCGGTATGCCGCTACTGCGCTGTGCAGCAAGCGCTGCCGCAGTGCTACCAGCACCCGCCACGCTGCCATACAACTCATCAAAGTCCGACGAAAAGTAGCTGGACGAACAATCACAGTTACGACACTCGTAGCGGCAAGTGTCGGAATAGCTACACTTTTCGCCGCCATCCAGGCTGCAGCGGCGACACTCGAATCCAAAACGACAACTTTCTGAGCTGCCAAAGTAGCGTCGCTGTGCCGAGGTGCACGAGAAGAGTGAGTCACCGAGGCTGGAGTCACTCACCTGTCCACCACCACCACCACCACCAGCCACGCCACTGAAACTACCACCACCGCCACCTGCGTATCGAAAGCGATTATAGCGATGCGAATTGTCGCTGCTACGTAGCGAATACTCGCTGATTATGGAGGCGCGCGAGTCACTCTTGTACATTTGCGGCAAATCGTAGGGATCGACGAGTATCTGTGAACCGCCAATGGGACGGCTGGCAGCGAACATAAGCGAATGCGTCGGGCCTACATTGGCGCCGCCGTAGAAGGGATCTCCCAATAGGACTTGTTGTGCCTCCAGTCGCGACATGGTGTTGTATTTATGCATGTGTTGATGTTGCAACGAGTCGCTTGACGATGATGATTTGGTGTTCATGCGTTGCATGCCAACGCCAGTTGGTGGCGGTCCCGCGGCCATTGTGGGCGTATTGTAAGCGAGCATGTAGTGCGACTGCTGACTACCACTGCGGTGGCTGCCGCGTACACGCTGTTGGGTTATAAGTATGCCAGCGCTGCTGGTTGAGACGCCACCCACGCCCGACTGATGGCAGTGGTGGTGTGGCAGGGTGGCGCCGCTTTGCAGTATATAACTCTGTGAAGAGTGTTTAAATTGCTGCTGCTGCTGCTGCTGCTGAGGCTGTGCCTGCTGATAGCTAAATTGTTGTGGCAATTGTGTTTGCTGTTGCGGCATATGAGCCACGTGATGCGCCAAATTCAGCTGCGGTTGGGGCTGTAGCTCAGCACTTGGCGTTGTTGTGGTGGCGGTGCCTGTTGAAGGCGACGACTGTTGAAATTGCAGTATCGGATTGTATTCACCAGTGATGGCCACCGGTGTTGTCTCAATTTTATATACGCCCGGATTGTTCGGATTGTACGATTGGAATTCAAGTATGTGGGCGGTGGGTAGTTGACCGCCTACCAAACGATTACCCGGGGCGTTGCCGTTTCCACTCATCGCCTCATTGCAGTCGTCACTGGTATGCATGTTGCCACATGGCGCTTGAGTAATTAATGGATGCCCGAGACTATCGAATTGCTGTTGCAAGTTTTTATCTTGTTGTGGTTGCTGATGTTGCAGTGGCACAACAGCATATGGTTTCGCCATGTCGCGCTGCACTTTCCCCTGGCAGTCCTGACTATCTGCCGCCACACGCGATTGTTGCGCGTAACAGTATTCGCAATTCTCTTTGGTGCATTGTTGCAGGCATAGCTCGCAATCGGCGTAAAGACCCTCTTCGCTGCCGCTGCATTGTGAAATAGGTGTATCCGCACCTCTGACCGATTGTGGCAAGGATTGTTGTGGCTTTGTATGCTGTTCATGTTGTTGTTGCTGTTGGTGATGATGGTTTTGCTGCTGTATTGTTGCTTGAGCCTTACACTCACTCTGAACTTGTTGATGCTGCTGGGATTCCTGTTGCTCATCATCGGATGGTGGGGCATCCTTAAAGAAAATCTCCTCGTAAATATTCTCCTCGCTGCGGGAATGCGATTTCTTGCCGCCACCTGCCGCGCTAGCCAATCCGCTTGAGATAGAGTTACGCTGTTTCTCCACAAAACGTTTCGAGCTTTTAATACCCTCCTTTAGTAGATAATAATTGAAACTCTTAATGCCGATTTCACCGCGCAAGAAGCGGCGACCTATTTGCATTTTCGAGCTGCCACCTGATGAGGAGGCGGTAGGGGTGGGCACACCTGTGGCAATAGCTTTAGAAGTGGATGCACCGCTGCGCACTGAAGCTAGCTCATCGCGCGCTTGCTCGCCCGCCCACTGCAAATCCGCAGCGGCACCATCGCTGTACTGCTTGGTCATCATGGCTGACTGTGCTTTTGAGCGGCGATTACTAGCGCTGGCGGCGCAAATACCTTCCATTTGTTGTTTGTTCGGTTGTTGTTGTAGTGAAGTGCCTTCCATACAAGCATTTCCTTTCTGCTTGCTGCTACGTTCACGTTTCTCACGTTTCTTCTCCGCACTCTTTCCCTCCCCATGCGCTGCTGAACTGCGCTCTAGACTGCGCCCACGTCGTCCAACACTACCCGTCGCGCTTTTCGATTGACTTGCCGAACGCAATGGCTCATCTGAACTGCTTGAATCATTACGTTCATAGGAGCCGCCGCCATCACGCAATTTGCCTTGCTGTAGAAATTCTTTGGTTAATTTACTGCGTTTGCCCAACGAGCTGCTGCCACCAGTTACCACCGCGTTTCCCGTTGCACTGCCACCAGCCAAACTTTTCACTTTACTATCTGGCTTTCCCGAGCAGCTGTTGCGACGTAGAGGATTCGCCAGGTGGCTTATGTCGTCTGTGTAGGCTGGATCATCATAAATACGGTCACGCACGTTGGATATCGACCGGTCTTTGCCCTGCAAATAGATCGAAAATAAATTAGTTTAAAACTCAATTCGAAGGAAGCTATGATACGGTAGCCAACCTAACAATACAACAACAAAAAGCGAAATATGTGTCAGAAAATTTTTATCTGATAACGGCAAACTGTGCGGCCTATACTCTACACGCATATGGATGCATTCAATTCTCAATCGACATAATCTTACCACATGCGGTAGCAAGGCGCATATTAAATATCTACGTGATATTAGTGTTTTCCTCTACTCTTTATGAGCATGAATAGCTCGCAATACGGAAATGTTGTTGGAAACGGAAATCTGATTGAAAAATTTCCCGTTGTCACAGCATACCCCAGCTGATGCGTAAATGCATGCAGAGACGTGTGCAGCCGAATGGAATATATGTACGTAATTGTGGTCTGTCAGAGGAGACAACCTGCGTGCGTAACCATACAAAATGGCTGCAAAAAGATAAGCAAAATAAAATCAGCTTAGCGTTAAAAGCATTTGTATTGCCGTGCAATATATGCCACCTGCCACATGCGTTGATGCGTTGGTGCGTTGGTTTTCGAATTTCAATAGATGTTCAGAGCATACATATGTGTATGTACATACACACATGTGTATACAAATTCATCTGTCGGCTACGCAGTTATTTTTTCATTGACTTTAATATACACTTTTTTATTTACATATATTATTTGCCTTCTATTGTATTGATCCGCATAAAAGCTTACCCATGGCGTATGCGTAACCTACTTGTGCAGACAATGGTAAGTAAGAAATCTGCGTAAAAAACGTATTTGTACAGGAAACTTCTAACTCGAACGAACTCAATATGTATGTACATAGGCCCATCTCTACAAAAATACATAAGTACATTTTAAATGCATACCAAAACATACGACTTAGACGTAAATGAACGATCCAAACAAAAGAACATTTTTTCTTTTATGTGCTGATAAATTTTGTTGATTGTTAGCAGAAAAAAATAAATAAAATTTTTGTTCGGTAAGCAGCCCAATTTTGTATCGGTGACAAAAATTTTTAACTGAAAAATGAAAATTTTTTCATATATTTTTCCGTAAATAAACTGTAACAAAAATCTGTCACTGTTACAGCAAATGAATGAGATCAAAATGTTGATGTTTCATATTTCTTGGAGGCATTTTACTGTTGGCCTCTTCGTAAAGGTTTCGATAGTATTCCATTGCTTTTGTCAATTCAAATTGAAATATAGCGTTCTATTAGGTAAAATGCAGAGTTTCAATTTGTGTGTACATAGTTACAAAATGAACAAACAAAATCACAGCAAAAAATTATAAGAAAAGCCCGTGCAAAATAAAGAAAAACTGCGTAAAAAAATTTAATGGGAGATGTTTAAAAATGTCGCGTACAAAAAGACCGCGTAAAAAGAGTACTAGGTGTATATACCTGTGAATGATATCGACTGTTGTTTCAAAACAATTTTTAAAATAGTAAAACATAGTAAGGTAGAGCCGTTCTCTTGTCGGCAATAATTTTTCTTATTTTATTTGATGTTTGCCAGCATTTTATAATAATAGGATAAAAGAGGGCGAAATCCAACTTTATATAAGAGGCGCAGGTATCAAATATCGTCGTTGCAACTTTCTCTAAACTACTTAAAAATCTATAATAGTCTTATTTATTGTTCAAAGATTGTTGTATGTATTAACTTGGAGAAAATGAGCGCCTTCATTTATGGAAATATCGGAGCTCTCGTATATCCGAAATTTACCGTTAAACGAGAAGGGGGTGTAATTTTAGTAATATTTGAATAATTTTCAACGAATTTCTTTTGCGCACCAAGGCTATTATGTATACCAAGTTTCGTAAAAATTTGCAAATCGGTTACCGAGATACACATTTCTCCCATTTTCCAAACACTCCATAATTATATTAATTTGTACCAAAATGTTACTTCTAATTTGCGTACTAATTTTCAACAATTTGAACTGGATAAGGGGCAACCTACATGCCAAATTTCGTTGACGGCAACTGACAGGCATAGCTTAATCGTCTTCTCTATTCATTCTGATCATTTATGTATACATTTGTCTATATCTATCTCTATTCGTTTTGGCTGTTACAAACAACCGTTATGCGAACAAAGTCATAATAAATACCCTTGTGCACAAGTGCCTTCGAGTATAAAAAAAGGAAGTTGTTCAAAGTTGTTGTAGTCTGAGATTGAAAATAATAACTATTTTGTGAATTTGAGTTTTAAATTATATTATTTTCAAGCGCCAATAATGTTAAAAGTGTCTCTCAGCGGTGCTATCTTACCATATTTATATCATTGGATATGCAGCTTGACCTGTACTGTGCTATTCTGTAACTTTTTTACTTATCGATGGTCGCCTACTTTTTAGGCAAAGTTTTGATTTTAAAATTTCATATGAAGCAATGAGCTAATTCGGCAAAACGGTTAACACCATTGCATTGTCGAATGTATCCAAATTATCTAGAAACGATCTACCTCCAGTCTGTTGGATTTTTCAACTGCAATGGTGATATTATTTTGCAAGCATTTTTAACATCTCTGGTGAATATTTTCACATTCTGTGAATATGCGGTATCAGTTCGACTTATAAGAATAAGCAAATATTTTTTTCCAGAAGTCGTAATGGCATTTGGTGCCCGAAGAAACCATCCGCCATATTTGACAAAAAATGAAAAAAATATATATATTTTAATAGCTTAAATATAAAAGTTACTAATTTGTATCAATGGTTTCCCATGAAACTGTGCTCGAAATACAAGAATCGCAAGACACCTTAGTTGCGAGAAATTAATAAATTATCAATTAAAGAAAAATGTTCAAAATTTAATTACAGGCATAATTAATTACATATATACACCTACTTCTTCCACTAATTACATACATACAATTCAGTGCCAATAATTATTTAATTTTTACTTAAATTTGTAACATCTCCACAACGTTGTAGTAACCGCAGCGACTCCACGTAAATTATTATTGTTTTTTTTTTTTACAGTAAATACCTGCTCATTACAGTGATTAATCATCGTTGGGCAAATGATGGCGGCTGCGAGAAAATTTTAAATTAAATCGCGGCGTTGAACAATTCAATGCATAAAGTTAAACACTCACATAGGCAGGGACATATGTATGTACTTATTTACATACACACCTTCATATGCGTACGTTAATATGTAAACGCATATACTAAAAGCTACATACACGAATATATTAAAGTTCGTGTAAATATATTTGTATGTCCGTGTGCGTGGCAAATTACATGAATATTGCGTGAAGCGAAGTTCCATTATTAAATTTACTTTTCAACCACAACTTTCTGCTTTGTTAAGTACGTAGCATAAATCATAACCATACATATAAACATTAGGGCGTACCAATATAAAACAAGTTTTATGTGAAAATTAGATTTGAATGCGTATATGGAATATCCGAACCCTCGAAATGTTGGATATTATAGAAAAATATCAGGTTGACATCACCTCAGTTCAGGAAATGCGGTAGACGGGACATGATTGCAAAAAAATTTGCGGCGTACGACATCGACTATAGCTGCCACAAATTTGGTGTGGGATTTGTGGTTGAGCGGAGAATCGAACAACCTTTCTCCCGGTTGCCACAATACGCACAAAGTCTAAATTTAAAAGCATCAGCCTAATTTGTGTGCACGCCCCAAAAAAGGAAAAAAACGATGAGATAAAAGAGCAGTTCTACGAGCGCTTGGAGGAAGCATATGAGCGCTGCCCCCACCAGGTTGTCAAAATGTTGCTGGGTAGTTAAAGAAGGCATACTTGGCCCAAAAGTCAGAAAATTTAGACTTCATGACAACACTTCCACCATCGAAGAGAGACTAATCGACTTCGCCGGAGCATGGAACACGGTAGTTAGCAGTGCAAGGCACCAGCATCGAAACAGCCACAAATCCACTTGGATGTCCATCGATCAAAGAACGAAACTAACGAAAGAGGATAGGCTTCCAGCATTCTTTAAGTGCGCCAGCATAGACTGTCTTGTCGCAGTTAAGATCCACATGCGCCCCTCTGCAATAAAAACCGTGTGCCAGGCGACGCAACGCAAGTGAAACATCGAAAATTTGCAGTCACAATGGACTGTCGAGATGTTTTGCAATCGATTCTCAATGCTGCTTAATCAGGCAACTTCTCATCGCCTGAACTTTTATAACGAGCAATGCTATTCTATCCTTCAATTCACATCGCACCGCTGCGGAAGACGATCTTGGTTGACGAAAAGTGCCATACAGCTGCAAAAGTGCCCGCCACTTGCGTCAATTATTGCGGTATAAGGTTTGAGGGAAATGTGAACAAAAATGAAATTTTTTTTCTGGCCACCATGTTGACGTTTGATCAAACCACTTACGTTGTGTATGGTAAAATCGCTTCATTTGCAACGGAATTTTCACCGAATGAGGACGCAAGAGAGAAAAATCGAAGAAACCCACACGCTTCTACATTGTGAACCGGAAGAAAACTAAAATTCTTTGCTTGAACGAGTCATGTTTGTATGATGTATGGCGAAATGGGAAAAGTAGGTTTGAAGAATATTTGACAAGCCGCTTGTGTTGTGTATTTCGCTCTTTATAAAACTTCGCCAAGCTTTTTGTTCAAAAATTTTCAGAGTGATTTAACAACTCTGTTATGTAAAACATGGTTGTTATCTGCAAATACATATATCCAGAGAAAATTCCTAAAATTAAAAATCCTCAAAAAATACTCAAGCGCAACCGAAATTCCTCACATTTTGAGGAATTACTCGCAAAATGGTCACACTGGTTCAACTAAGCATCACCTTATATACGAGTACCCTTTACAGAGTTCAAGTTCTAAGAGCATACTGGCCATTCTCAAATAGAATTAGTGCTCATTGAAAGGCATTGAGCCATTCCTTGGCTAACATTGATTATTTTAGTCCCGAAAAATTAATTTGCTTTGTTAAATAACTCGCACCCTAATGTATGTATATACATATACGCCTA